TACAATTTTGATACATACATATAAACAGCTACATTTAAAACAGATCTAAATTCAAATTGGATTGCTTGACTAATCCAATAATTAAAACATAGTTCCTTTTCTCTTTTTTTTTTTTTTTTGAATTCCACAGGCTCTGAATCAAGACCTTTCGAGAGGGAAAAGAAGCAAACCAGTTTCAAACTAAAGCGAATGAAACCAAGTGGTTCGTGGCAAGGATAATTGGGCTTGAGGGCGCAACCTCGACGAGCAGATTCTCTCACGTTGTTCCTGTCTGTTGTGTCAGGAAGTAGCGACACGTCTCCTCCGAGAGAAAGTCATTTGCAGTTGCCTGAAACGTTAACTGAAGCTGTATGAGACCAACACTGAGGAGACGAATTGTGGGAAAGAGCAAATAGAGCACGCGTGATAATTGGCAGGAGACATCCTCCAGAGATTCGAATAAGTAATCCTAAAAAGGTCTGTGCCTTGTCACACACTGGAAGACTGTTGGGAAGACTTTCATCTGGTGAACAGGAATGCAGAACATCAAGAAAATTGGATTGGAACGTTCTTACGTGCGTATGTACATGTATATTTATACATGGATGATCTGGATGGCTTCCAGAAGCCATATTTCATTCCAGCCAGTGCACGCGACGACTACTAAATCTAATACCAATTTCTGAAAATTGATATTGATGTTAGTCATGCAAATAGTGCCGCAAAGTACATTAATTTAATATTAAACAACATCTCTATAAACGTTTGTGAAAGAGTTTTTAAATGGAGCATGCTCTTTGAATAAAAGAACTATTTATTGATGATCTATGGCAAATATTTTCTCATCAAATTAAATTAATATGAAATCTCTTAATACATTGAACAAATTATATAGCTACACTGATACGTGAGTATTAACTAGTGCCAATGTATAATAGTTAAATTAAAAAGGAAAGGTAAATATATACAGTAAGTTAAAAAATATTTCTTCCAGATAGAATATTTTTTAAGTATTAAGTAAAATTTATTAAGAGATGGGGATTAACCAACACACAGTTGCATACTCTTCTTGATTAAAGAAGAAATACATTAATAAAAATATCGATCAACCGACCAGAGAAACCTGTTGGGATTATGTCTTGAAAAAGACAGATTGGCCAGTGCCACCGGTTTAAATATCCAACGCAAATGAACGAATCTAGTTTTGTTTCAGTTTGACGTTTTATAGATCAACGACTTATCCACCAATCGTCTGGCAAAATCTTATCAAAAGCTGCTCTGCTCTGCGTGGGTAAACTTCAAATAATAAATCTCCACTCGGAGATCTTATGTAAACGTCTTAATTGCTTAACACAGTTCACCATACTGGTTAGATACTTCTATAAGCCTTTAACGAGCCTCAGGTCAACGTTCCCAGCTTCTTTCCAGAGTTTCAGACTGGCTGATCGATGGCAAAAGTTATAGGTAATAAACTTCTCATTGGCAACTTTACAATGACGAATGAAATTAGATATTTAGGTGGTTTGTAACTTGGAAAATCCAATTTCTAATTCGTTTTATTATCATCAGACTTCTCGCTATGAAATAAAATGTATAAAATACATAAGCCTGATAATGAGGATTTCTTAATCAGATATTTCTAAAAGATATTGGGTCCCAGTAAGTGCACAAGTCTCCTCAGTAATAAATTTATAATTTATTCTAATCTTCCTTATCTTATCATTTGTAATTTAATTTCCAATCTTCTTCATTTCATCATTCTTCTCCTCTTTATCTATCTGTGTTTGTTTGTGAGTTTGTTAGTTATAGAAAGACTCAAGTCACTTACTTGGATGACGTAGCTCGTACTTGTTCTTGTCTAAACCTTTCTCGCGGCACACTTGTTCCAAGATCTCGCCCAGGTTCATCTTGGGACTGACTCTGGACACCCACAGTTGGTTCCTTGGTAGATGTACCTGTGACAATTGCACAATCGTGATTCCTCCAAACACTTATTGATTATTTGATAAACTATCAGATATAGAAAATGGAACAATAAAACTGGGATGTTGAAATTATCTGATGACAATATTTACAGAACACTTTAGCCTTAAATTTTGCTAGATTCGAGAGTGTGTATTAGTTTGATTACGAAATACGTGTGTTTTTCGTATTTTTCTTTTTTTTTACCTGCAACCTAAAAGTAGTTTCAAATGGTTGATTAAGCTGCTTCGCTTTCCTTGGTATGGAAGTGCCCTGCTTAGGTAACAATTTTACCTGGAACAAGAATTTTTAATTAGTTGATTAAAATGAAAAATTATTAGAACCGGGAAGGAAATTATTAACACTGAAAAATTAAAACTATTTAAATTGAAGAGTCCACTAGAAGAGAGCACTAGAATTATTAATTAATTACACTATACACAAATAACTTAAATTTTTTTAAATTTTCTATTATTTTTTATCTGAAAAAAAAAACATAGAAAATACTAAAAACTTTCTGAAGCAGATCAAACACGTGCGGCGAAACAATTCTGATTACAAGTCAACAAGATTAGCAGAGATTAAAGGGACTTTTCAGAAAGAAACAACTCTAAAGTCTCGTAGAGCTGAAAGATCACACAAGATTCCAAGTCGCTTCTTCAACTCTAACCCTAAGCAGAAGAACTAAAGAAGTAACATTAAAAGTTATGTTCCTCCCTAGTACAATTTCTTATTAGGGTCCTTTAAAAAAAAAAATCTCACAGAACTTCTGCTTATTACTTTTGGTATACTGCTATTTCAATGAAAAAAAATCACTACTCTATGATTCATGATTCAATTTTTTCAATTATGTTTTTAAAATCTGGTGTAATCCAATATATTTCATTACATTCTTATATTTTCTCTAGTATTTTATTCTATTCTTTAATAATTGATTGCATGAAGACTTCTGGTATTTTAGTAACTTGAGTATCTTAGTATCCTTTAATTATTTTAATATCCTGATACTTGACACCTTAGTATCCTAGTACCCTGACAATTTTACATCTGACAAGAGTGCAGTATTTCAGTAATTTGAAACAAGGCTCTAATATTTTCAGTAACTTGATACTTTAGTATCTTAGTACTTTAGGCTCTAATATTTTCAGTAACTTGATACTTTAGCATCTTAGTACTTTAGTATCTTGGTACTTTAGGCTCTAATATTTTCAGTAACTTGATAT